GGGAAAAAGGAAGCCTCCAGAATGGGCTCTCTGACCCAGAGAGTGAATCAAGATGAGTCTAAGCACCCTACCAATCACTGCCATACTGTTCATGGAACAAGATTCTCTAGAACTGCAGTGGTAGCAAACCAGGGGTGAACTGTAGCTATTTGCTTAGTCTGGGATTCCACCAGCTTCCCTATTTTCCTCGAAAACTTTCTGACTATTGTAAATATAGTTCCTGCTTCATGTTTTCCAGAGGTTGAAACAATAGGGAGGCAGAGGAGTCCACTAGTTATGTAATGTAGTGTTTCACTATTGCCCCTAATCCATCCCCTAACTTCCTAATGATATCATTTTTATATAGCCCACCTCCATTAGTAACATTCCATGATGGCTCATTCTCTGGGGTTGGGGTTTGGAGAGCAGCTCAGAATCCAAGGATGCAAGCCTTTGAAATGTTTTCTATCCAAGGTCATTCTGCCATTTCAGTATAACTCTCTAGCCACCTACTGTCCTCTATCCCTGACCACTTATAACCTGAATAACATATGATGTAACTTTTAAGAGCATTGACCTTCATTGTAGTAAAATTTCTGGAACCTCAGTTTTTCTTATGGAAGATAAGAATAGCACTGAGAACTATTATAAAGATTACATGAGATGATGTTTGTACTTGTACACAAATCAGCACATATTGACTTCCAGTGGATGAATGTGGGAAAAAGAAACAAATAAATCTTCTCTTCAAAAAAACCAGTTATAAGATGGGGTTAGAGCTAAAATTTGTGTTGCAACCCAGCCAAGACCGGCTAAAAACATTTTTTTATTATTATTATTGGCATGCTTTCACATCCTAGAACAAAGACACTCCAAACCTTCCCAGGCCCAAACCCACTCCCTCCAAGGACCATTCAGATTGACCAATCAGATAGGGACAAGATTGTGTGGTTGAAACCCTAACAAATAGGGTGAGACACAGCCTTAGCTTGCAATTAGCCAGTCGGGTAAAGACAAGACTGTTTGGTTGAAACTCTAACCAATAGGATGAGACACAGCCCCTTTCACATCACATCAGGGATAAAACCCAAGTGGACTGCCTGCCCAGTGTGCTTCCTAGACAGACTTTGTGCTGCCGTGCACCCTTCTGCAGAAGTAAAGGTTGTCTTGCTGTGATTATTTGTTATCTTGTGTCTCTGTTACAGCATCAAGTCGTCTTTCTAACATATGGAAGCTGCATTATAAAGTAATAGTATCTCCAAATTGCTAGAGCCCACCTTGAATTGGTGGCTGCATGTAGCTTTTTAAAGCTTCTTTTCTGCTATATTAAACACTCTTCATATTTTATATATGTATGTACTAGTATTAGAGTCCTGGCGTTACCAGATCTGACTACAGAAGACTGGAAATTCATGAAATATAGTATAAAAGAGGTTTATTAGAAAAAGAATACCTACATGGGAATTGTGTCATAGGCAAAAGTATCTCACCACACTCATAGTCTGACATGTATTTATGGAGAGAGATTTTTTTTTGCATACAGTTGCAGTTTTGATTTCAGAAAGAAGGTGGGCTTTTCTGGTTGTATAGTTCTGTTGTCATGTGACACTTCATCTCTCCTTTTCTCATGCTGCTCATGCATCTGGCTTCCAGGATGGAGTCTAGGATTTCAAGATGTAGTCTGTTTAGGAGGTGTCTGGGATAGCTGACATAACCAGTTTTGCACCTGCACTGAAAACTGGTTAATGAGGACGTTAATGTGTAGCTGATGGTTAACAACCCCCACTAAGTTGTCGAAAAGAGAGAGAGGATTCCCAAGCTCCACTGGGTTCCAGACACACAAGGAGACAATTTTTTTATTTTGTCTTGTTGATGTCCTGCCTGTCTGACAAGGAGATGAAGTCTATCTTTTGTCCACATTCTGCCCTTCTGTTGTTTGTATTTGGAGGTTTTTTATGGTTCTACTGGTACTTTCCCAGTGCTGCTTTTATGCTGCCCTGGTCATTTTCCTCAATAGTTTTCCTTCTGCTTTCTTACCCTAACATTGGTGTGGTGCTGCTATAGGAAAAGCATTGGACCAAAAGGTTGGTTTGAACCACAAGCAAGGCCCATGTTTCAAACTCACCAACCACTCCTCGGAAATTCTATTCAGGGTCAGTATGCATTGGAATCAACTTGATGGCACTTAACAACAATAACAACATATACTCATGTGCAGAAGGAGCTCTGGTATTATAGTGATTACGAATTGTGCTGCTAATCTCAC